ATTTAGTATTCACCAGAAATGCAGAGTACATGAGAATATATATTTTGTAGTTTTCTCTCAGTGTCTTCTGAATAATTTTCTAAATGATATCTGGTTCCTCCCATTTGATTAATCTGATACTTAGATTAATGACTTTTTTAATTCAAATGTAATTAATCCTACTTATTCATAATTTATATATACTATCTGTATATTAGGAAATATACTTTGCTTCAAATTGCAGTTACTATTGAGTCTCCCAAGAGTTTACTTTCTACATTTTTTTCACATATTTTTATTTAGAAATGACTAAAGTAATTGTATATAATAGAATTAACATAAACATTAAAATTAACCTTAATGAGCCAACTTTATGCATATTCACTAATGGTTTCTGTGACAAGTATAACTATGTTTTGTATGCATAGAAAAAAATGTGGAGTAATTAATACCAAAATGTAAATTCTGGTGTAGGTCAGGGCACTTATGTCTTATTTTGGCTTTTTTGCCTTTGGTATGCAGTGCTAGTTTCCAAATGCCACCAACTTTTTTATAGTGACTCTTTTTAGAGACTGTTTCCCTCTTCCTCTATAAAAACATGAACATATCATCAACATCATTAGTCATTAGGAAAATGCAAAATAAAACCACATTTTCCACCTTCCTGAATGGCTAAAATAGAGACAAACTAACAATTGGTGAGGATGTGCAAAAACAGGAACCCTCGTACAATGCTGGTGGGAATGTAAGGTGGTGCTGCCACTTTAGAAAACAAGTTTGGTTGTTTCTTAAAAAGTTAAACATAAATTTGCCATATGCCCCAGCAATTCTACTCCTAGGTAATAATTACCCAAGAGAAATATATCCACACAAAGACTTGTACATAAACGTTCTTGGCAGCTTTATCCATAATAGCTTGAAACTGGAAGCAACCTAAGAAGCATCTATCAACTGATGAATGGATGGATAAAATGAGGAATAGACCGACAGTGGAATATTATTCAACGATAAAAAGAAATGAAGCACTGATACGAGTAGCTACAGCAGGGACAAGTCTCAAAAGTATGCTAAGGGAAAGAAGCAAGACACCAGAGTCTCCACATTGTGATTCTCTGTATATGAAATGTCCAGCAAAAGCAAATCTGTAGAGACAGATTAGTGCTTGGGACAGAAGACGGGAATGAGGATCAACAGTAAATGGGCATGTGGGATGTAATTGAGGTGAAGAAAATGTTTCAGAACGGTTTTATGGTAATGGTTCCACAACTAGGTAATTTACTACAAATCACTGAATTGTGTACTTGGAATGGATAAATTAGGACATGTAAAATATGCCCCAATAAAATTGTAAAGAAATATAACAAATACAACCCGCAGTGTATCGAAAGTATACACTCTGACCAGAAAGGTCTTTTTCCAGGAATAATGAAATGATCATTAAGAAACCTATGAAGGGACAAGGCATGGTGGCTCATGCCTGTGATCCCAGCACTGTGGGAGGCCAAGGTAGGAGGAGCACTTGAGTTCAGGAGCTCAAGACCAGCCTAGCCAATATGATGAAGCCCTTCTTTACTAAAAATACAAAAATTAGCTGGATGTGGTGGTGCAGGCCTGTAATCCCAGCTACTCAGGAGGCTGAGGCAGGAGAATTGCCTGAACCTGGGAGGCAGAGGTTGCAGTGAGCTGAGATTGCGCCACCACACTCCAGCCTGGGCGACAGTGAGACATCCCGTCTCAAAAAAAAAAAACCAAACAAACAATGAAAATCTATATTATCTTTATTGAATATAATAAAAATAGATGACTAAATGTTACAGCAACTATTGTCCTAAATAATGAAACACTAAAACCATATCAATTCAAACCAGAAACAAGATACTCTATCATCCTAATTATTTAACATTCTTTAGAAGGCTTTAGCAATTGCAATAATAAAATAATTGGCATACACATTAGAAAAAGATATTCAACTATCCCTATTTGGTGACAGTTATGATTATTTGCATAACACATAGAGCTTAATAAGGGAATTTGATAAAGTAATAGGTTAATACAAGTGTAATCAGTAGATTTTCTCTCCTGCAAAACATATATGAAATAAACTTTTAAAACCCATTCCCAATAGCAATGAAAATAATAAAATATATAGGAAATGTATAATCAAGAAAGGTATAATATGTAGAAAGCTATACAACAAATGGAAAGGCTTCTTGAACAGAAAGACTTAATATAAAAACATCAGTTCTTCAAAAATTAATAAAATTAATAAATTTAATTAATAAATAAATTTAAGTTCTTATTAGAATTCCAAGAGAATCAGGATAAAAAAAAAACTGGATAAATTTGTCTTAAGTTTACATGAAAAATAAAGGCACAATAATAGCCAAGAAAGCTATGAAAGTTAACAGCGAGGGACAACCTAAAAATATCGGGTATCAGAATATGCTATAAAGACACTGTAGTAAAATGTGCTATTTAGAAATAGGAGTAGACAAATAGATCGATAGAACAGAATAAAGAATTAAAAGAAAAACCTCATATACCTTGAGATCTATTTATGGAATGTAATATATGACCAAGATTCAATTCAGTTGGAAATGAAGGGGGTTATTTATTAAGTGGTACAGAACTGGCTCTTGATCTTAAAGAAAATAAAAATGCTCCTCCACTCTTACTCTTTTTAAACATTAATTCCAAAACAAATGAATTTCACATGGATCCTTGGCCTAAATGAAAGAAAACAATAAAATCTTGCCAGGTAATCTAGGAGACTACATCTACAAACTGAAGCAAAAAGACTTTCTAAGCAGGACTATGAAAAGAAAGACACATATTTGATGACCTAAAAATGAAAAATTATTTGAATAGCAAAAGTATTATGAAACAACCTTAATAGACAAATGATTAAAAATCTAGAAAAATACAGTTGAAAAATAAAGGATTAGTGTGTGTATTATAAGGAACTCTTACAAATTTTTAATCAAAAGATAGTAGACAAAAGGAGGCAGATAAAGGAAGAAAAAAGTACAAATGGTCAAAATATTTTTAAATGCTTATATTCACTTATCAGAAAAATTCAAATTAAAGGGAAAATGTGATATCATTAACAAAAAGAGCTAAAACACTTATTCCTGGCAGGAATGTTGTGGTCTTGTGCTCTTATATATGGCTATAATGGAATGTGAGCTACTTTGCTATACATGGCTGTCTCTATATATAGACACACATATATATGGCCGTATATACATATATATGGCTATATACGTGGCTATATGTATAGGGCACTCTCTCTCTCTCTAGATATATATATGTATACATGGTTCTCTATATATATATAAAATGGAATGTGAGCCACTTTATTATACATGACTATAATGGAATGTGAGCCACTCTGGAAAATAATCTGACAACATTGATCATACACATAGACACACACAGGTACACATATATGTGCACACACATGCATACATACATACATATATACTTTGACCCACCTGGAATCAATTCAATTCTTAGAAATCTATCCTATAAAGGTAAAAATTAATCATAAGGACTTTTGTACTGGACTTGTTTTTAGTAGCAGAAAAAAGTATATTTATATATGCATGTATGTATATATACATATGAATATATGTATGTACATACTGCAACAAAGTTAATGTCTGTAATAAGGAAATGGCTAAAAAATTAGCATATCTATATACTATAGAGTATTATTCAGTTATTAAAAAGAATAGATCAGGCCGGGCGCGGTGGCTCACGCCTGTAATCCCAGCACTTTGGGAGGCCGAGGTGGGCAGATCACGAGGTCAGGAGATCGAGACCATCCCAGGTAACACAGTGAAACCCCATCTCTACTAAAAATACAAAAAATTAGCCGGATGTGGTGGCGGGCGCCTGTAGTCCCAGCTACTTGGGAGGCTGAGGTAGGAGAATGGCGTGAACCTGGGAGGCAGAGCTTGCAGTGAGCCAAGATCGTGCCACTGCATTCCAGCCTGGGCGACAGAGCAAGACTCCGTCTCAAAAAAAAAAAAAAAAAAAAAAGAATAGATCAGAACTATACCTTTTCAGAAGACCTGGAGGAATTTTCGTGAGATAATGTTGAGTAAAGATGGTAAGATGCAGCAAAGCATATAATAAAACAATTACTAAAAGAAAAAACTGTAAAAATTACTACATGTATTTATATATGTTATACATATAAATGTATGAGAATTATGTCAGCAGAGGATTGCATAAATATGAAGAAAATATGAAAGGCTGCACACCAGGTTGTATTTATAAGGCAGGGAAGAATTGCAGGATGGGGAGGGAGGATGGAGAACCAAGCACAAAAGGAAAAGATTTTAAATTTTTTTTGTTTTATTTAATTTCCAATGTGATCGTATTTTCATTTTATTTTTTAAAAGACTATCATTTTTAAAAAGACAAGGTGTAATCGTATTGTGCTATATAAACATAAAAATTGTATTTGTGTTATATAAATATATAAAGTTGGATTCAGTGACACAAAAGGGATTTTAATGTTTTTAGACCAATCACTGTTTGGAGTTCTTTGTCCCTTGAGAAATTGGTAACTTTAGCTTTTGCAGTTGTTAGTTGGACATTGTTTAGCAAAGTTAACGCAGCATAATTAGTCAACTCCCACTTATAATTATTCTTCCATTAGAATTAGTTCTGATTTTAATAGTAAAATTATTTATTTTAGAAAATCTGGAAATTATAGAAAAGTAATAAAAAAAACTTTATTTAAAAAGCGCCAGTATTCCTACTACCCAGAGATAAGCACTACAGTACTAAGATTTTAGAGTATACCATTTATGCTACTCATGTTTTGTTTTTCAATGAAATTTAAAATGTAAATCTTGTAAATGTTGCATATTTTAGTTAAAAATATGTGCCTATGCTTGAATTTTTTAAAAATATGTAAAAATCCTTTTGATAATTATGTCATTTTTTTCTGTAAACCCTACCATTTTCTTAGTCATTCAGTATACATACCCACCGCTATTCTTTTCTAGTTCCTGGCAGACATGGAAAATAATGCACTTTTTCGGGATGATATAGAATGTCAGAAACTCATTATGGAAGCAATGAAGTACCATTTATTACCAGAGAGACGACCCATGTTACAGAGTCCTCGTACAAAACCTAGGAAGTCAACTGTTGGTACATTATTTGCAGTTGGGGGAATCGATTCAACGAAAGGTATCAAATAATCTTTTATTTGGGGGAGGGAGGAACAAAGAAAAAGATATTTTAATAAGTACATATATGGCCAAAGAACTCTTTGGAGAAATGGCTGGTTGCAGGACAGGGGCAGAAAAAGTACCAGAGAATTGTGTAACATCCTCTAGACCGGAAAAAAGGAAGTGGTCAAAGAATGATGGAGACAGGTCAAAACACACAGGAAACAGCTTGTAAGGGCTACTACTGTCCAAATCTGGGATAATCTGAGCATCAAAATAAATAATAGTAAAGGATTATAACCTATGAAATCAATAAGTATTCATGGTTCCACACCTATACAAATAAGGGAGAAAGGAAAGCTCTTCCTTACAGAAGAATGCCAATGAATGAATATAGAAGGAAAGATGAGATTACAAAAGTTACCATTTAGTAACCACCAATAACCAATTCAGTCGAGAATTATCAGTGGATGCTGAGACTAGTGGGAAAAGTTTGACAACAGGATACTTAGTCTAAAAGTGTCTCTCAGCCACACGTTTACTAGTTACAAATATACAAATAGTATATTTACAGTAGAAAAACCTGGCACACAGCACTTAAGCAAATGATCAAAGATAATGTTGACAGAAATCAGACTAAGCGGCAGCATTGTGCAGGACAGGATGCACGGAGAACTCAGCCACCCATCTATGCCGTCCTTGCCAAGAGTGTATAACCTGAATCTAATCATGAGGAGGAAACAAATCTAAGTTGAGAGATAGTCTACAAAATAACTTATCTGTCTGTAGTATTCAAAAATGTCAGTGTCATGAAATAAAAAAAAGATTCAGAAATTGTTCCAGATTATAGGAGACTAAAGAGATGTGACAGCTATTATAATGCATCATCTTGGATTTTCTTTTCCTGTAAAGGACATAACTGAGACAAATGACAAAATCCAAATAAGGTCTGTAGATTAGATAATAACGTGGCATAAATGTTAATTTCAGGCGGGTACTGTGGCTCACGCCTGTAATCTCAGCACTTTGGGAGGATGAGGTGGGTGGATCGCTTAAGGTCAGGAGTTCAAGACCAGCATGGGCAATATGGTGAAACCCCGTCTCTACCAAAAATACAAAAAAATTAGCCAGGCACGGTGGCACACGCCTATAGTCCCAGCTACACTCGGGAAGCTGAGGCAGGAGGATCACCTGAGTCCAGGAAACAGAGGTTGCAGTGAGCCGAGATGGCGCCACTGCACTCCAGCCTGGGTGACAGAGCAAGACTCCATCTCAAAAAAAAAGAAAAAAAAAAAGTTAATTTCCAGATTTTGATTATTGTATTTTGGTCTTATAAGATAATTTCTCATTTTGAGGAAGATACACTGAGTATTAGGGGTATAATGCCATAATTTCTGCAAGTTACTGTTTTTTTGTTTTTTGCTTTTTTGAGACAGAGTCTTGTTCAGTCACCCATGCTAAAGTGCAGTGATGCTATCTCAGCTCACTGCATCCTCTGCCTTCTGGGTTCAAACAATTCTCCTGCCTCAGCCTCCTGAGTAGCTGGAACTACAGGCACATGCCACCACACATGCCTGACTAATTTTTGTATTTTTAGTAGAGATGGGGTTTCACCATATTGACCAGCTGTTCTCAAACTCCGGACCTCAAGTGATCTGCCTGCCTCAACCTCCCAAAACTATGGGATTACAGCTGTGAACCAGTGCACCAGGCCACAACTTACTCTTTAAACAGTTCAGGAAAAAAAAAAATACCTACATAGCAAATACAGTAAAAAGTAAACATTTGGGAAATCTGGGTCAAAGGTATCTTAAGAATTCTTTGTACCACTCTCACAAGTTATTATTAATATTAAAAATAGGCTGGGATCATGCCTGTAATCCCAGCACTTTGAGAGGCCGTGGCAGGTGGATCACTTGAGGTCGGGAGGTCGAGACCAGCCTGGCCAACATGGTGAAACCTCATCTCTACTAAAAAATACCAAAAAAATTTAGCCAGGCGTGGTGGCAGTTGCCTGTAATCCCAGCTACTTGGGTGGCTGAGGCAGGAGAATTGCTTGAACCTGGGAGGCAGAGATTGCAGTGAGCAGAAATCATACCACTGTACCCCAGCCTGGGCAACAGAGCAAGAGTCTGTCTCAAAAAAAAATAATAATTAAAAATAATAGCAATAAACACTATGCACAGTGCCTGCTGGTCGCCAGTGTTATGCTAGTAGCTTTCTGTGTATTATCCCTCAATATGCATTGATCTCCCCTTTGAACTCCTGGCATTAGCAGTCTGCAATCTCCTGACAATCTCTCTTTGACTTCTGGCTACCTCTCTGATCTGATGTCAGCTCATTCTGTTAATACTTCTTCCCTTACTGATGCTTTTATTTCAACCCCATTGGCCTTTTCATTCATCTAACAGGCCAAACATTTTATCCATATCCAGGATATTACTTTAGCTGATGCTCTCACTGGCATGCTCTGCCCCCAGATATTGAAGTGCCTAGCAGAAATTATTCACTCAAATCTCTCAAATGACAACTTACCAAGGAGGCCTTCCATGACCATTCAATAGCAACCCCCTGACTACCACTTTCTAACCCAAATACATATAACATATAACATAGTGCTATTTATTTGTAGATGCTTAAGTTTTAGATATAGGCCTGATGACTGCATGGTATAGAAATAAATAACTGATTAGGGTTACAGTATAAATATTTCAACATTGGAAAAGATTTTCCGTTGTTCAGATAATCTGCAAATACTTATTGTCATCTGTGTACCTGGAGCTGGTGCTAGCTTTTGTAGAGTCATTACTAGCACTCTCCTCCCTCTATCTTTTTCTCTCCTTTTCAAGGCTTTAACTGTTATCTCTATATTTATGTATAATACCCTCACTTTGATTTTATTCTCATATTTCCAATTTGTATGAAATATCTATTTGATGCTCAGCTTTTTAAATTATTATTATACCTTAAGTTCTAGGGTACATGTGCACAACGTGCAGGTTTGTTACATATGTATACATGTGCCATGTTGGTGTGCTGCACACATTAACTCGTCACTTACATTAGGTATATCTCCTAATGCTATCCCTCCCCCCTCCTTCCCACAAGGATTATAAGTCATGCTGCTCAGCTTTTAACTCAAACTTGGTACATGGAAAGGCAAGGAAACTTGCCTTGGTACATGGCAAGGAAAATGTGTATCTGTCTTTTCAGCTTTCTAGGAGATGAGTTCCTGCTTCCCATAAAGGCTCATACATACAGTGGAAAATTCCCCAAGCTTGGGAAGGGGACTAGATACTAAGCACCCAAAGTAAACAATTCTCATTCTCTCTCTCTCTCTCTGAAATCTTACATTCTGACAGTCGTCAGGTCTTTTTTCAAATGGGTCTTATATCTAATTCTTCCAAATTTCTGCTGCCATCCTTCTAATTCCAGTTAGCCTTTCGTCAGCCTACATATTTTGGTCATGTTAATTTAGAGGGAATAGCATTCATTACGTTGTTAATATGTGGCAGGCATTATGCTAAGACTTAGCCTATATTATTTCATTTCATCTTCAAAACAGTTCTCTTTTTATAGATAGGGAAACTAAGACTTGGGAGAACTTAACTAACTTTCCAAAGATTACACAACTAATTCGTGATAAGATCAAGATTCAAAAAGGCATTTTGGCTTTGGAGATGATATTCTACTCCACTGACTCTTCAATGAACATGCCATTATTCTGCTCAAAAACTCCAGCAGTCTTTATTTCTTAGCACATAAGATGCAAATGCCTCATTTAAGACTTTCTCTAATCTGACCCTTCTGTTTGACCAACTTTATTTCTGAGTATTTTTTAATAATTAAATACTCTGACCTATCCTGTTCAAGCTATCTGCCTGGCCCTAATTTATTTCCCATCTTTATAATGAAGAGCAGTTTGCCTTAGTCGGATGGTAGTCTGACCATTGGACTCTTGGTTCCTTCATGTATCTGTTTAGTATAGGGCCAAACAAATAAGTGAATACTGGCTCCAAATAGCCACTCAGAAAATGTTAGAGTATATTTGTGCTTACTTTTATAAAAGGTTAATTCTTTGGTATAAATTAGGGAAGCCCCAAGGTTTTACACAAAATTTTACAATTATTAGGCTTTTGTTAGTTTTGGATATTTGGATTTAAATATGTATATATTTAATATATATTATATTTAACATTATATTTGTATATTATATATTATAATACATATTATATAATATATAATATACATATGATCGATATAATATATAATACATATAATATATAATATAATTTATAATATATAATTATATAATTATATATTAATATATAATTATTATATTATATATAATTTATAATATAATTTTAATATATAATTTATATTATATATCATATGTATTATATATTATATTATATATTACATAATATATATGATACATATGATATAACATATATATTATGTATTACATATGATATAACATATACTATATAAATATATAATTTATATATTATATTTAATATTATATATTAAATATATCATAATATATAATAAATGTATTATAATATATATTAAATATATATTAAATATAACATAATATATATTAAATATATATTAAATATAACATAATATATATTAAATATATATACCTGAGACTATGTTTTAATATTTTATGTTTCAAATTAGCAAAATAACTTTTAGTTACCAATTCATATGAATATGATACTGCTTAGTAAACTAGATCTAAAAGAAATAACTTAAAATTCAAAAGAAAAGTATTCCCTAAATATATTTGTGAAGAGAGATGATTAGCTTTTTATTTGTTGGAGGGAATTTTCTAATTTGATTTGATTTATTTGATGGCAGGAATGATATTTTAAGATCAAATTTAGAGTAATTAAATATACTATTACTATGTATGTTACTATTATAATGTAAGCATATGAGTAAAAAAACCTCACTATAGCTAGAAACTATAAAGAAAAAGTACTCAAACATATTTTTGAATAGCTATACTATGTATAAGGGACTCTTATTTGGTGCTGTGAAAAATACAGAGGTGAAGGCCGGGCAAAGTGGATCATGCCTATAATCCCAGCACTTTGGGAGGCCGAGGTGGGAGGATCACTTGAGGCCAGGAGTTTGAGACCAGCCTGGCCAATATAGTGAAACCCTGTCTCTACTAAAAATACAAAATATTAGTTGGGAGTGATTGGTACATATCTGTAATCCCAGTTTGGGAGGCTGAGGTACAAGAATTACTTGAACCTTGGAGGTGGAGGTTGTGGTGAGCCAAGATCATGCCATTGCACTCCAGCCTGGGTGATAAAGCAAGACTCTGTCTCAAAAAATAAAAATAAAAATAAATAAATAAATATTAAAAAAAAATATATATATATATATATGCATGCATGCAGAGGTAGAAAAAGACTTGCTGTCTATCCCAAATAATTTAGAATTCTGTAGGGTAAATAAAAACTTTAACATGAGAAAATCCATATGTATAACAAAACTATTTCTAAATTTTAGGAAATTATCAATAATACTAGTGCTCTGATGACCAAATTATAACAAATACTTTAGAATAAGTGTTAGTCATGATTATAATTCTGTAAGGTTAGCACTGCTTACTTGATGTGTTAGAAGCTTAGAAGAGAGAGGAGGGTTCTAGTTGAACTCTTCACAATTGGGGGTTAGGTTTATTTTAGAGGGTTTTTTTTTTTTTTAAACATCCGCTCATCTTAACTCATAAAGAGAACAAAGGAGTCCTGGAATCTTCCAATTCTTAAAAAAAAAGAAAGAAAAACATAGATGCCTTCAGGCAGCAACTTCCTGAATTCCTTACCCTCATAGTTTCCAAAGTACCTGATCTGTACCCTATCCTTGCTTATTGCAGTAGAAGATGTTCCCCTCCTCCTGTGAAAGCCAGCTCTTCTGCCTGTGCCCTGGGTACTGTGCTTTCCTGCCTCCCCACGAACCATAATGAACATGGTTCATTATGTTCATTCTGATCTCTTTCATCTCCTGTATTTTTAGCTGCTTTCCTCTCAACCAGATCCTTTTCATTCACATTTAAGCAACTCTTGAGTTTTCAAATTTTAAAAGCAAAACAAAACAAAACTTTCCTCAACTCTTCTAGTAATTTCTACCTCTCCTTACTTTGATAGCCAGACTTCTCAGAAGAATCTTCTACGCTCACTGTCTGTGTTTCCTCACCTCCCAGTCACATCTCAACCACTCAATAAGGAACCTCCCACTGAAGTCATCAATGACCTCCATGTAGCTAAATCCAATAATACTTCTTAGTCTTCATCTTATTTGATCCTTTCAGTGGGATACTGTTAGCAGACCTACTGCTATAAACTTTCTTCCTTTGGCTTCCATGACACTTAACTAAGCCTCTGCTTTTTTTCCCCCCACTTCTGGGTGTTTGTTTCTCACCCTCCTTTGACAGATAATCCTTGTCCATTTGACACCTTTTCTTACTAGGGCCCGTGTGTACCCTGGAGAATAGTAAGAGTCGAGGACACAGAGTTAGGCAGAGGCTAGATCATGCAGGACCTTCATGAAATATAATAAAATTATTATTCTCAATGCTAATAAGATTATATTTTTGTATCTGTAATTTCATAAAATTACCAATTATGGTATAATTTTTATTTATATAACTTCTGTATATTACTATGAAGGAGCAACAAGCATTGAAAAATATGATCTCCGTACAAATATGTGGACTCCAGTAGCAAATATGAATGGGAGGAGGCTACAGTTCGGTGTTGCAGTGCTAGATGACAAACTGTATGTGGTTGGAGGAAGAGATGGACTGAAGACTTTGAATACTGTAGAGTGCTACAACCCCAAAACAAAAACTTGGAGTGTGATGCCACCTATGTCCACACATAGACATGGCCTTGGTAAGTATAACTGTGCAGATTCACTCAAAATATCACGTAGCTCCCACAGCACGTTTACATTCTGTACCAGGCAGAAGACCGGTGTGGCAGCCACTGCATCAGCAGCAGTCTCCAAGCATTCCTCACATGCTGCAATAAAGAACTTGACAGGTCATCATAAAAGATGAGGCCGGATGCAGTGGCTCACGCCTGTAATCCCGGCAATTTGGGAGGCCAAAGCAGGAGGATTGCTTGAGCCTAGGAGTTCAAGACCATCCTGGGCAACTTAGGAAAAAACAGTCTCTACAAAAAATTTAAAAATTAGCTGGGAAAAAAAAATTTTTAATTAAAAAATTAGGTGGCTTGGGCCTGTAGTCCCAGCTACTCAGGAGGCTGAGGAGGGAGAATCATTTAAGCCTGGGAGGTCAAGGCTTCAGTGAGCTGTGATCTTGCCACTGCACTCCAGCCTGGGCAACAGATCTATCTCAAAAAAACAAAAACAAAAACAAACAAAACAAAACAAAAAAAAAGATCAATACCAGTGAAGGTATGGTTGAGTTTAGATAGTATGGTTTATACAATACTCAGTTTATTAATACTGACCACCAGAGTAGAGGCTTCTGCTAAATAACAGTAGACAGTAATGAAAACTCTCTAGGGATGAAGATTGAAATGGGTATGGTGGTGGGTACAGTAAAAGTTCAAAGAGACATAGATTTCCACGAGTTGTAATTAGTTCTCAATGCAAGATCATCTTAAGTTTGAAGTTTGATAAGGAAATAAAACCAGAGGGTTAAGGCAAAGACAGAGAGAAGGAGCTTAAAATTAACTATATGAAATGTAACAAAGTAAACTTGTAAAACATGACTCTTGAGTCCATAAAATCAACTATTATATAGGCACAGACTGGGAAAATGTGAGTTGAGCATGAATGAGACTTAGAAATTTGGGTTGACCATAAAATCCAGGGTAGAGTGAGTCAACTGCGTGCTTCCCCTCCCCTACAATGGGGAAGAAAATGTAATTCTAACACAGGCTAAATCCTTATGGATATAGTGCATAGAATGTGATTGCTCATAGTCCAGTTATTCTGTGCAAATGACACTGTGCATTGAATACTGTCAGTAGTTCTAGGTGCCATACAGAAGACTTTACTGAACTGCAGCAAGTTGAAAGGAAAATGATCACATGGCTCAAAACTGTCTTCTTTAAGCCCTAATTTAAAAGTTTTGTGTCATTCAACACAACAATGTTCTTACTAAATTACCTTGTAATTAAATAACTGTTACAAATTTGAACTTATAAAATAAACTTTTTTTTTTTTTGAGACAGAGACTCGTTCTGTTGCCAGGCTGAAGTGCAGTGGCGCAATTTCGGCTCACTGCAACTTCCGCCTCCCGGGTTCAAGTGATTCCCCTGCCTCAGCCTCCCTAGTAGTTGGGACTACAGGCGCGCGCCACCATGCCCAGCTCATTTTTGTGTTTCCACCAGTAGAGACGGGTTTCACCATGTTGGCCAGGATCGTCTCAATCTCTTGACCTCTTAATCCACCCACCTCGGCCTACCAAAGTGCTGGGATTACAGGCATGAGCCACCACACCTGGCCTAAAATAATCTTTTATTTAAGAAACATTCCTTTTATCTCTTCATATGTGGGAATTTTATGGACATTTCATTCAAAAAAGGAGTTCTGCTAAATTTTTTTTTTTTTTTTTTTTTTTTTTGGAGACAGGTTCTTGCTCTGTAACCTAGGCTGGAATGCAGTGGTACATTTTTGGCTCACTGCAACCTCTTCCTCCTGGGCTTAAGCAGTCCTCCCACCTCAGCGTGTCTAGTAGCTGGAACTACAGGCATGCACCATCACACCTGGCTAATTTTTGTATTTTTGGTGGAGACAGGGTTTCACCATGTTGCCCAGGCTGGTCTGGAACTCCTGGGCTCAAGCAGTCTGCCTGCCTCAGCCTCTGAAAGTGCTAGAATTACACTTGTGAGCTACCACACCAGGCTTAAAATTTCTTTTCAAAGCCATTTTTTAATGGGTTGAATTAGGTGAACCCCTTAAGTTTTCTGCCCCCTTTGACATATTACACATTACATATACATGTATATATGTAAAATTAGATATACGTATATCATAAACAAGTATATACAGTATGTGTATATATTATACATGTATATTTTGATATGTGTATATTTTTGTTTATACATAAATATATACACATATAAAATGTGTATATGCATGTATAAGCATATAAATAACATGTATGCATATTTATATACACATATATGTGTGTATATATGTGTACACACACACACATATAAAATCTCCAAAAGCTAGTACTGGTGGGGTACAATATGTAATAAATGAGTGGAATAATACGTTGATTTGGGTCATGCATGAATGATGAGTATTTTTCTTATCTGGCTGTGATTTCACAAATTATATCTGTAATACAGGGGTTCTTTTGGCCCCCAAGTGAGACATTTTATCTCACCTGGCCATGATCATGTCGCACCTCTTCTCAAATCCCCCTACCTTAAAGCCATCTCAAAGCCATCACGGAGACCGTTCTCCGTCTCATTCAGAATAAAATCCAAAGTCCTTACAAGAGATAAGATCAGAGTCCTTATCTGCAGTCTCTGCCCTGCATGCTCTGGCTGTACACTCTCCCTCATCTCTTATATTTTCCCCCTCACTCACCCTGCCTAGCCAGACTGGCCACCTTGTTGTCCCTCAGACACAGTGAGCATACCTCAGGACCTTTGCACTGCCATTTCCTCTACCTCACCTTCTCTTCCCCCAGCTATCTCCAAATCTGGTTTCCCAACTTCATTCACATTCCTGCTTAAATGTTACCTTACCAGAAAGGTCTCCCCTGACCCTCTCTATCCTTTTACTCTGCACCACTTTTTAAATTAGCAATTGTTATTAACTAAAATATATTTTATGTCTGTTTCCTGACTATAAGATTTATGAGGGCACAGCCCTTACCTGTTATATTCTGTTGAGTGCCCGGTACTTAGTAGACATGCAGAAGATATTTGGTGAATAAATTAACAAATGAATCTAGCTCAGCTCCCTGCTGATGAATCATACCAATAGATTATGGTATCGAATCTAACTATAGTAAAATCTCATGAATTTGAATTAATAGGGGAGAAGGTATAAAAATACTTTTCCAAATATATCTTAAATCCAAATTATTGAAAAATGTTTTAAATAGTAGCAGTTTATGCATCTGGTGCAATTTTAAAATAATTTTCCACCGTTGTACCTAAAAATATTGCCTGTAAAATTTTTAATTTTTTTTAGAGACAGGGTCTCACTCTGTCATCCAGGCTGGAGGTGTGATCATAGCTCAGTGCGTCCTGAAACTCCTGAGTTCAGGGGATCCTTCACCTTAGCTAGGACTATAGGTAATGCCCCCATGCCTGGCTAATTTTAACAAAAAAATTTCATAGAGATGGCAGCCTTCCTGTGTTGCCCAGGCTAATCTCACAGAGATCCTTCTACTTTGGCCTCTCAGAGCTCTGGGATTACAGGCTTGAGCCACCTCGCCCAGCCTCTAGAACTTTTTTTTTTGAGACAGAGTCTCACTCTGTTGTCCAGGCTGGAGTGCAGTGGCGTGATCTTGGCTCACTGCAACCTCCACCCCCAGGGCTCAATCGATCCTCCTGCCCCAGCCTCCCAAGTAGCTGGGATTACAGGCACCTGCCACCATGCCCAGCTAATATTTGTATTTTTAGTAGAAAAGGGATTTCGCCATATTGGCCAGGCCTGTCTCGAACTTCCCGACCTCAAGTGATCCTCCCACCTTGGACTCCCAAACCACTGAGATTACAGGCATGAGTCACCACGCCTGGCCAGTCTCTAGAACGTTTAAGACCAGAACTCCCATGCTATTTCAACTCCCCACCCACCCACCCACCCACCGACCTACTAAGAACACTGAGGACACATGTCTACATTATAAATGTTTACTCAGTTCCATTTGTATGTTTAAGGCTTATTGTACTTCAATTAAAATGTGATTTTTAAGACGGCAGCCAATCTGAAGTCGTTGTTTCCTGTCTCTTCATAGGTGTGGCTGTACTAGAAGGTCCCATGTATGCTGTAGGAGGACATGATGGCTGGAGCTATCTGAACACGGTGGAAAGATGGGACCCTCAGGCTCGCCAGTGGAATTTTGTTGCCACTATGTCTACCCCCAGGAGTACAGTAGGTGTGGCAGTACTAAGTGGAAAGTAAGGAAGTACCTAAAGTTCTATTTAAAATGCAGTACACCAAATTTATTAAGCTATATCATTTCTAATTAAAGATATACATAAATACAGTGATTTGAAGAGACTTTTAAGACAATGTCTTCTATAATAGTTGTAAATATAAACAGTTGATTGTTAAGCTAGGCTTTCATTTTAATATGCAGATACTGTACATTTCTAGTTATTTTGAGTGAAGACATTTTATATTAATGTTCAATATTAATAAGTTGTACTGTAAAAATTGTATATCTATATTAAAGTATTTTATTTAATATACTTTAAAAGTATATTATCTGTATTATGTTTAAAAGCATGTATGGTCTTTTAAAAGTAGTGTAGTCTCTCTCAGTGTTTCTCTAAAAATTCCTTCCATCTTTTCTACTGATTTATCTTGACTTTCACCTCTTTCTTATCTTGACTTTCACCTCTTTCTTATCTTGACTTTCACCTCTTTCTTATCTTGGAAAACTGGTGAAAACTAGAATGGATTTATAGAGGTGCTCTCTTGCTTCTTGTCTGCTCTGAATAAATAAATATAGGTAGAGCCATCACTACTAGCTCTGTTACTCGGAAAGTAAATGTGTGTCTTTTTTCAGTCCTTTCTTCTTCCATAAAATGAAGCCGTCTGTGGTTGTTAAAGAAAAGTTATTTGTGGGGTACCTTTTGCTCATTTAGAATGCTTTATCATTGTTTCCAGAAAAATAAATGAATCAAGGTTAAAATAGGATTAAAATTATTTATAGAATTTTGTTATTGATTATAAGGAAAATGAAAAATTAGTGAAATGTTTTATATTTTAGGACCTAAGATCTTGTTTCTTCAGGACCCATCAGTTATGTTCTACTTTTTGGTACTTTTTTTTAAGCACTATTACATGTGATAAGATGGATAAATGGAAATCACTTTTTAGATGTTTTTGATCTCCATGCCCCTGCCCTCATTTATTTTAGCTAAAGAAATCACTTCAAAATTCATCACTACATATCTTTCTAAACTCTTTGATAAGAGTCAGCCATTAAATAAGCTAGTAAATAGAAAAAGAAAATGAAACAGTATCTTCTCGGCTTTGACCCTTTGGTTTAAACCTTTGGGATTGATTCATTGGATTAATTTTTGTTCAGCAGCATATTTCTTAACCCTTATTTCTAAGAGGACAAAACAATAATTGCCTTCTCTGAAACCTGATTTCCGGACCTACAGTAGCTTAGCTTTCTAGGCATAGAAACATCTTACTTTCTTACCTTTTCTTGCCCTCTAATGAGAAATATTTCAATCCTTAACCCACCTAAAGTACAGTTAATTGAATGTAATTCAGAGACAACCTAATTAATCATATCAGAAGCTAAGGATCTCTAATCTACTAACTATTAAGAAATTTGATTTTGAAAGTATAATATATCTAAAGAATCTGGAACAAGTAGAAAGTATGTGGTTGGTTGAAAAAAACTAATGATGCATCTTTTATCATTGCTTTGTGGTTTAGAACAAATCATTTCTCTGTGCCTCAATTTTTTTATTCTGTAAAATGAAGAGCTTTGATTTTTGTGGTTTTTGTTATTTTAACTTATTTATTTATTTATTTTGAGAGAGAGTCTCACTTTGTCGCCCAGGCTGGAGTACAGTGACACGATCTCAGCATACTACAGCCTCCTCCACCTCCCAGGTTCAAGCGATTCTCCTGCCTCAGCCTCCCAAGTAGCTAGGACCACAGGTGTGCACCACCACATCCAGCTAATTTTTGTATTTTTGGTAGAGACAGGGTTTCGCCATGTTGACCAGGCTGGTCTCGAACTCCTGACCTCAGGTGATCCACCCACCTTGGCCTCCCAAAGTGCTGGGATTACAGGCATGAGCCACTGCACCTGGCCTATTTTAACTTATTTATAATTTCTTTTTCTTTTCTTTTTTTTTTTTGGTGGGGGGTGGTGGGGTAGTAGACAGAGTCTCGCTCTATCTCCCAGGCTAGAGGGCAGTGGGCAATCTCAGCTCCTCCTGGGTTCCAGTGATTCTCCTGCCTCAGCCTCCCAAGTATCTGGGATTATAGGCACCCGCCACCATGCCCAGCTAATTTTTGTATTCTTTTTTTTTTTTTTTTTTTTTTTTTTTTTTTTTTTTTTTTTTGAGATGGAGTCTCGCTCTGTCGCCCAGGCTGGAGTGCAGTGGCCGGATATCAGCTCACTGCAAGCTCCGCCTCCCGGGTTTACGCCATTCTCCTGCCTCAGCCTCCCGAGTAGCTGGGACTACAGGCGCCCGCCACCTCGCCCGGCTAGTTTTTTTGTATTTTTAGTAGAGACGGGGTTTCACCATGTTAGCCAGGATGGTCTCGATCTCCTGACCTTGTGATCCGCCCGTCTCGGCCTCCCAAAGTGCTGGGATTACAGGCTTGAGCCACCGCGCCCGGCCAAGAAATTTTCTTTTTTTTTTTTTTTTGGTAGAGATGGGGTGTCACTATGTTGCCCAGGCTGGTCTCAAACTCATGGCCTCAAGCAATCCTCATGCCTCAGGCTCCCAAAGTGTTGGGATTACCGGCATGAGCCACTGAACCTGACCCTAATTTTTGTATTCTTGACAGGGTTTCACTGTGTCAGCCAGGCTGGTCTCGAACTCCTGACCTGAAGTGATCAGCCTACCTTGGCCTCCCAAATCATAAAATTTTCCTACCATGTTTGACAGAAAGAAACCTTATTTAGACTTCCAGTTGCTCAGGCTACCTTTAAGGCACTGGCTGACAAATATTTTTAGCAGTTAAATCTCTCTTTCAAATGAAATCTTAAAAATACCTCAATATTTAAAAGGCAAATGGAAGTTCAAGTTTATTTTAAGCTTACTTAAAATGTATCACAAGTTCAAGCTTATATTTACTTATTATAAAAATCTGTGAAGAAGAGTAAGTGCTGAAGAACAGAAGAATAAATTTTAAAGAGCACTCAGCTTATTTCTGTGTCTTGTCTTGATTGTCTAATATGAGGAAAATCTTGATTCACAGATAAGAGGCTGAAATGGTAACAGTTATTTTAACTACTAGAGTAATTTAATTGGAATTTCAGGAAATTCTTCAGTTCAATTGCCCAAACAGTTTGAAAGTAGTAATAAATCTTTTTTCTAAGTTGAATCTCAAACAGTGTCTGCCAACTACTTGCATTCCTTTTACTTTTGAGACAGGGTGTAGCTCTGTTGCCCAGGCTGGAGTGCAGTGACACGATCACAGCTCACTGCAGCCTCAACCTCCCTCCCAGGCTCAAGCTATCCTCACACCTCAGCCTCCTGAGTAGCTGGGACTACAGGCATGCACCACCATGCCTGGCTAATTTTTAAAAAATGATTTTTTGTAGAGATGGGATCTCACTGTGCTGCCCGGGTTGGTCTCAAATACCTGGGCCAAAGTAATTCTTCCCATCTTGGCCTCCCAATGTGCTGGGATTACAGGTGTGAGCCACCGTGCCCAGCCTACTTGCATTCTTGATCATAATTTTAAAAGTCAGGCAAGACCTAAATCTTATTATTAAGTATATATAGGTAGTACAATACTTTCACAAGTTGACATAATATTTCTCTTTTTATTATAATAGACACTATCATGGGGAAGAGAGATGAGTTCTGAGTCTTACATGACATTTAATTGAGCAAGGTGATATTTTTGAAAATTAAAAATAATTTTTAAAATTTGAAATTCAAATGAACCATTTTTTAGACTCCCTCAATTTCTTCATAGAATCCTATTCTTAGAACACAGTTTGAAAATCATTGCTTGAGATAATGATTATTTAGGAAGTGTTACCAATCGATTTTAACCCTTAATATTAGCTGAATATAAACATTGTTTGTACACTTAAGATCTCCTGTAAGTGCTATTTTCTACAAGAACACAGAGACAATTAATTTTTCTCTGTAAATGTTTACACCATGATTATCATGTACTAGGCAGTGTTCAAAGTACTTTAAATTTAATTATCAAGAATCCTATGAGGCAGGGTTTATAGATGATGAAATTTAGATGGAGGTTAAATAACTTGTCCATAGTCACAACTAGTAAGTGGTAGAACCAGAATTGTCTGGTTCCAGAGTTCATGCTCTTAATCATTGTACTGTACCATTCTTTACAATTAAGACCCACGAGTCCACTGTTCAAGAGCGTAAGAGGCTTTAAAGCCTATTGTGTGTGGGTATGTGTGGGTGTGCACACATGTGCACACACATATGCATGTGTGAATTATTTTAAATTACTGATCCTCCCTAATTGTTGAAGGCTTCTTATGTTCTGTGATCCATATTTAGATAACTCTTCTACCAAGTATTAGTTGAAGATAAGAATAATATTAAGAACTAGAACATAAACAAGTTACTAATAGATAAAAGTTTTTAACAGATAAAAGAAGTTTTAAGATAAATTTTAATAGATGTTTCAAATAAATTTCAATTTCCATACTATTAATATAGTTTAAGTTTAGAACAAGATATTGCTACAACCATATGTTGCTGTTTAAGATATGGTCATCTTATTATTTAAGAAACAGTTTCAGTGACATAGTGGCATACCTTAATTAGGAAATCTGTGGTTAAATATGTAGATTTACCTAAATATAAATACCTAGAGTTTTAATTGGCAGAAATTTGGGATAATTAAAATATTATTTCTTGAGAAATGATAAAAACAGTTAAGTATTAACTAACATTTGTAAATTCAAAATGTATAATGTTTTTGATAAGCAACAAAGTAAATTTACTCTTTTAAAAAACTCATAGAAAAAATATTTATAGAGAGCTTCCCAAATGAATAGTAAATACAAGAAGATTTTTGCTTAACAAGAAATACTATGTTCAGATATTTAAAATATTTTACAAACGTTTTAGGTTCAGAGTAAAAGACTATTTCAAATTAGTGCAGTGTATTGATAATGAATTTAAATTGATCTACTAGGTAACATTTAGGTCGTTCACGTGATAACCTATATCCTTTTCTGCAGTAATTTAAATTAATGAAGGATCATTGTTCATATGTAACAAATGTTACTTTTTATGCCATTGTTTCAAGCTATATTTTTATTCTCCTATTTCACTATTACAAGTACATTCTACATGACTGTGTTGACTGTCCAACTGTTTGTTCATTAATAAAACTACGTGTCCCGATTCTGCTTCTTACTGGGTGACCCTGTGCAAGTCTCTTACTCTCTGTGAACCCTTGTTTCTTTACCTGTGAAACAGGGATTCAAACAGTTTCTTATATCACTGTGACGATTAAATTAGTACATATAAAGTCCCTAACCTATGGTAGGTGCTCAGAGAAGGTTAGTTTCCTTCCTTGATAATAAAGTCTGAACTATTAAAAAAAAAAAAATAAGCCATGGTATATTTATACACCATATTTTGTCTATTCTAAGACACACATTTTAACACCTCTAGAATTTCAGTGCATATTACAATCAATGGTGACTTGTCAAAGAGATGGCAGTGGTGAAATAGTTGTCAGTGCCTTCATGTGCAGTTTGTTTTCCTTTTCATGTTTATACAGAGTGATATAAGATACTTACATGTGTCATTTCAAACATAGCATATCTTCTTTAATGACACACACATTGACAGTGTGTTTTATAACTGATGGCACCTTAAATTCAATGAAATAACATAAGAAGAGCCACTTTGTTCTAAGCATAATGGCACAATGTCTTATTTATCATTTCATTTATTCTTTTTACAGACTTTATGCAGTTGGTGGTCGTGATGGAAGCTCTTGTCTCAAATCAGTAGAATGTTTTGATCCTCATACTAATAAGTGGACACTGTGTGCACAGATGTCAAAAAGGAGAGGTGGCGTAGGAGTGACGACCTGGAACGGACTGCTGTATGCTATAGGGGGGCACGACGCTCCCGCATCCAACTTGACTTCCAGACTCTCAGACTGTGTGGAGAGGTAATTTCCTGCAAAGAAAAACTAGGAACAAGAAAAACATATATATAAGTCTCTGATACTTATGTCTATTTGGAGAACATGTTGGAGAACTGGAAGGGAAAGTCAGCATTCAAAAATGCAAAGCAGCTTCACTTTATAACAGCCTGCTCTCACAGGAACTGATACTTCCAGAAAAATAAGTTTGTGTTGAGCATGCACTACACGCAAGGCAATTTTACTTTATATGGGATATTGGACCTAATAAGAAGAGGAGCTTGATGAATTTTATGCAGAATGACTTAAGGGCTGTAGGCTAAATAAAAAGCGAAAAGGATAGGGACATTTCTGTGTGTTTTGATATAAAATAAAAAACTAATAATAAGGCTTACAAACTTAAGTCATCTCAACTGGCCTGGCAAAACTCAAGTGTGGTGCCAGGTAGAGAGCCGAAGAGCAGTGGGAGATTTGGATGGTAGGTCAGGTTCCCATTTCTTATGTTTAGTTTAGTACAAGGAATAGCGAGAATTGAATGGATTTAGGCGGTACAATCAATAGGAGTTTGTCTGAACACTCCAAAGCAGAAAGAAATACTGTTCATACAGGAAACTGAAAGGTAGCCATTGTGGCTGGAGAGCAAAGAGTGATGGGGAGGGAATGGCAGGAAAGGAGGTGGAGTGGGCAGGGTGGGTGCAGATCATCTAGACTCCTTGAGGCATTGTTAAGGGTTTTGGATTATAAAGAAAAATAGGAAGTTAATGAGCACCCATGTGTGACAGAGTGTGTGTGTGTGTGTGTGTGTGTGTGTGTGTGTGTGTGTGTGTGTGTGTATGTGTATGTCTGTTGGACGTGATCAGATTTTTTTTAAAGATTAGTTTGATTTATTTAAGTTGTACATGACCAAGTGACCATAAGAAGGATAAAAAATAAAATCAAAGTTTGTTGATGATAATGAGCACTCTCTTAGTCTGTTTCCTATTGCTATAACAGAATACCCAGGACTGAGTAATTTATAAAGAAAAGAGGTTTCTTTAGCCCACAGTTCTTCAGGCTGGGAAGTTCAAGATTGGGAGGCTGCATCTGATAGGTTCTGGCGAGGGCCTTGTGCTGTGTGATAACATGTTGGAGAATTGGAAGAGAAAGTCGGCATTCAAAAATGCAAAAGCAACTTCACTTTATAACAACCTGCTCTTACAGGAAATAATGCATTCACACAAGAACTAACCAAGGAGAAAAACATTAATCCATCTTATCAACCTAATCACCTCTTAAAGGCCCCACCTCCCAACACTATTACATTGGCAATTAAATTTCAACATGAGTTTTGGGGAGGATGAACCACATCCAAACCATAACAAGTGCTTTCTGTATTGGTGTTGTTTGAGAAAGCGGGAAAGTTACAACTGCATTTCACTTATATTGGGGGGAAAACAATTCAGACCTATGCTCGTTTCATGTTGTAATCCAGGAAAGGAATGTGGAAGTGTTTATATACTTTGCCCCATGAATTATGGGCTTGCTGTTGTACTACACTCAGTGGAAAGCTGTTCATTGATACAACAGATTTAGGAGCAATATCAGTCATCCTAGCATGATGTATCTGCTCTTAGCTATACAACTGTGGGCAATTCTAGTTAAGATACCTCATGAAAGGAGCAAGAAAGCCCAAAACTGGACAGCTACAATGATTGAGGCTGTGAGCCATCTTACATAGAGCTTAATGCATTGATTTCCCCAAATTTTCAGTAGGTAATCTAAGGTCTGAAAGCAGTTTTCAGTACTGACCCTAGCTCCTTTTAAGTGTTATACATCTGTTAAGTGGATCTGTTAATATAATACTGTAAGTTAAAGTTGTCAGAAAAATATTGGTATTTTTCTCAAAAATATGTTCAAATGTATTTGATTTACATAGTAGATAAGTCAGAAGATAGACTTGAAGAACAAAACTGTTTTTACATAAATACTTTAAGAATAATGTCAGCTCTGGTTCTGAAATTTTCTTTCAGATATGATCCCAAAACAGACATGTGGACTGCAGTAGCATCCATGAGCATCAGCAGAGATGCAGTGGGGGTCTGTTTACTTGGCGATAAGTTATATGCTGTTGGGGGGTATGATGGACAAGCATACCTTAATACCGTGGAGGCTTATGATCCCCAGACAAATGAGTGGACCCAGGTACGGCACTTCATGTTTCATTATTACACTGACTCTCTTTATTAAAACAATTCTTATGGTAAAACAGATCCCCTCAATCTTGTCCAATACTGAAATATATGGCATAAATATGACAATCACCTCTTGATTAAAGATGAGAAAAAGAGGCAATGTTTAATTTTATCACATAATTAAAATCCAGAATTACCTTTGAGATGTAAGTTAATACTCAGAGAAATTATAATTATCTGCTACCACTTGCATGATGAGGTGTTCTAACCTGATTAAAGCCGATAGGACTACAGGCAGGCTGTAATGATGGGAGGGGAGACTGGAAAATAAAAACAAGGATAGTAGTCAGAAAACTATGAACAACTTGCCCCTGCATGAGCAGTGATTTTTAAATACTCAACCCATTGATATTTGGGAGCAGATTAAAGTCCTGATAACCTAATGAAGATGGCAACCCTAAATTACACTAAGTAAGAAACCTGATCTGGCAATCTTACTAACAGAAAGAATTTCACCCTTGTGTATTTCTGGGAGGGTCTAGCACTTCTAAGAATGATCTTTTGAGATCTTTGCTTCCATCATCACCAGGAACAGAATCAGGAATTTGTGCTTATGACACCGAATTCAGTACTTGGTACATAAAAGACAATAAATGTTTACCTGAGCCAAGATTGTATTGTATACAAGGAGCAATGGTAAGTATTGTCAAGAAAACAAAGCTTCTGTGAAGCCCCACGGTCATGTAACCTAAGGTCTTGGGTAGGTAAGATCTACATGTGCAAGGGGAGAATGCACCACACAAGGCAGTGGGTATTTAGTGTCCCGTGGTACAGGCGCCAAGTGATACAGGAGATAAGAGAAAAAAGAAAGTGGTTATGGGGAAAGCTTTAGTGAGAAAGAAGTGGGATTTAAACTAAGCCTTAGTGAATTGATCCAATTCAAAAAGACTGGAAAGAAGAAACTGTGAGAAAATGTGAAAGAAATGTCACCAAAGCAGAATTACGTAAGACATATTGAAGTATGACTGGTTATAAGGATCTATGCTTGAGAGGAGGAGGAGTGCTTACTGGAGAGGAAGATTGGGGTCAGAATGGAGATCTGTGAGACCAAGGTGGGAGGATCACTTGAGGCCAGGAATTCCAAACCAGCATGGGTGACAAAGTGAGATGCTATCTCTACAAAAATTTGTGGGTTTTTTGTCTTGTTTTGTTTGGTTTTTCACATGGAGTCTTGCTCTTGTCGCCCAGGCTGGAGTGTAATGGCACGATCTCAGCTCACTATAACCTCCACCTCCCGTGTTCAAGTGATTCTCCTGCCTCAGCCTCCCGAGTAGCTGGGATTATAGGTGCCCACCACCACACCCGGCTAATTTTTGTATTTTTAGTAGAGACAGGGTTTTGTCATGTTGGCCAGGCTGGTCTCAAACTCCTGACCTCGTGATCCACCTGCTTCGGCCTCTCAAAGTGCTGGGATTACAGGCATGAGCCACCATGCCCAGCCCAAAAATTTTTGAAAAATTAGCAAGGTGTGGTGGCACGTACCTGTAGTCCCATCTACCTCGGGAGGCTGAGGCGGAGGATCGCATGAGCCCAGGAGTTGAGGCTGAAGTGAACCATGATCATGACACTGCACTCCAGCCTGGACAGCAGAGCAAGACTCTGTCTCTTAAAAATAAATAATCATTTAATAATAATTTTTTTTAAAGAATGGGGATGTGTGAAGGCCAAGCTAAAGAGTTTGGTAACAAGAAGCCAGCAGAAACTTTCAACCAAGTGAATGATGCAGTTGGGGTCACGTAGGTTGGGTTAGGGGCAGGGGAAGTGAGGGCTGGATAAAAGGAAAAATATTTAGAGGATTGCTTCAGTTGCAAGGCTTGAAGCATTCAATGTAGATGGATTCAAGAGATATTGCCAAGTCTTGTTGGTCTTTCTTTATATACACACACTTGCTGGGTTGAATTGGGAGGTGTGGTCTCTAAAGAAAACAGAAAAGGAATGAGGAGAGAAGTTCTCAGAAGACAATGGAATAGAGCATCTAAAGGGAGGAGTAGGAGTTTCAACAGTATAAGAAAGAATGAAGATTTGTCATTTGTAAAGTTACGGGATTCTCTGAGAATCTGATAGAAGCAGAAGCCAGTACACAGTTTCAAAAGTAAACAGAAGAGGCCAGGCACACAGTGGCTCACACCTGTAATCCCAACACCTTGGGAGGCCGAGGTGGGCGGATCTTTTGAGGCCAGAGTTCAAGACCAGCCTGGCCGACATGGTGAAACCCCGTCTCTACTAAAAATACAAAAATTAGTGCCCCTGTAGTCCCAGCTGAGGCACAAGGCTGAGGCACAAGAATCAGTTGAACTCAGGAGGTGGAGGTTGCAGTGAGCCAAGATCGTGCCACTGTACTCCAGCCTGGGTGACAGAGCGAGACTCTGTCCAAAAAAAAAGTAAACAGAAGAATAGGGTGTAGGAGCTAGAGAGGCATGCAGTTTTTAAATGATGATGATAGAAAGTGAATATTTATTCAGCACATCTTACAGACCAGGCTCTGTTCTAAGCACTGTAAAGAATTTAATCTTCAACAAACCTATAAGGTTGGGTTCTGGTATTTTCCCACTGTACAGGATGAGGAATATGACACAAAGGTTAAACAGCTAACCCAAGGCCACATAGCAAATAAATGGTAGAGTTAGAATTTGAGCCAAGGATTTTTTTTTCCACAATGGAGATGACAAGAGGGTAGAGAAAGATTCTAGATATAGAAAGAAAGAAAGCAAAACTTGAAGGGCACCTTTCTGAGAAAAGGGCAGGAAACAGAACTAGGAGCAAAGACTGGGGGGCAGGCGCAGTGGCTCATGCCTGTAATCCCAGGACTTTAGGAGGCCAAGGCGGGTGGGTCACCTGAGGTCAGGAGTTCAAGACCAGCTTGGCCAACATAGTGAAACCCCATCTCTACTAAAAATACAAAAATTAGCTGGGTGTGGTGATGTGCACCTGTAATCCCAGCTTCTTGGGAGGCTGAGGCAGGAGAATCGCTTGAACCTGGGAGGTGGAAGTTGCAGTAAGCCAAGATCACACCATTGCACTCCAGCCTGGGCGACGAGAGCAAAAACTCCCTCGCAAAAAAAAAAAAGCAGACTGGTCACCCTCAGACTAGAAGAAAGATCTTACCCTCCAAGCTTGGGAAAAGATAAGAATTTGAGTGTAGTGTGAAGAAAAAGATAGAAAAAAAGGACTTAGATTGTGTGGGCTTTATTCTGTTTCTTAAGTGAGATCACTTGATGGAGGGAGGAAGGGATAAGATTGAGAGCTACAAGATTTCATTGGAAATTAGATGATTACCTAGTATCAGCTTCCCACTACGGCAAAAACAGTTGTGAATGACACCCAAGGAGCTCAGAAAGATAAGAATCTTTTTCTGACATGTATTTAAGCCCTAAGTCCAGTTATATATATGATTTAAGCCCTATCAGCCAGTTATTTGAGACTTGTTATTATTTATAATTAATACTTTATGCTAAATAATCCCATATCAAAATTTATCATCAGTGTCCACATAGCTATTTTTCTTGTAAGCCACCTCTATTACTATGTTAAAGCACCTAAAAATGTGAACTCATTTTCATAGTATCTGAAAAATGTAAGTTTTCCTGGGCCAGGCATGGTGGCTCACCCCTGTAATCCCAGCACTTTGGGAGGCCGAAGCGGTTGGTTTGCCTGAGCTCAGGAGTTTGAGACCAGCCTGGGCAACATGGTAAAACCCTGTCTCTACTAAAATACAAAAAATTAGCCAGGTATGGTGGCGTGTGCCAATAGTCTCAGCTACTCAGGAGGCTGCGGGACGAGAATTGCTTGAACCCGGGAGGTGGAGGTTGCAGTGAGCTGAAATGGCACCATTGCACTCCAGCCTGGATGACAGAGCAAGACTCCATCTCAAAAACAAGCCAAATAAACAAAAAAATTTTGAAGTTTTCCTTTCAGTGTTCTGACAGATGGACATTTGTATAGGCACTAAAACAAGATAACAAAGTCCTAAGCCACTACCCCCTCACTACCAGCCTTACCTCAAAGCAAGAGGTGATTGTATTGTATTGATTGATTGTATTGATTGATTGATTGATTGATTGTGATTCTATTGTATACAAATTCTCTAAGCTACACTTTCTAGCTGGTTGTCATGACAGTGTCAACTATTCACAGTGTAGAGACTAAATGTCTTGGGTGATTTGAGAAGAGCTACTAATTATAAACTGACATTTTGATATAAATGATTTTTGAGGTCAGTTTGATAATGCTATAAATAGATATGGTTTTAAAATAGGTTATTTGATTGTTCCAAGAGACTTACAGTGATCAAAACAACTGATTCAGATGGAGAACTGCTAAGTATTCTCTTATAACTGAAATTTGACCTGTTCTTAAAATCTACTCATTGGTCTATGGGGTCAAACTGATTAGGAAGTCATTTTGGCATTTGACAAAAATACTTTAGTACATACCCTAACATATATAAGTACAAAGCAAACCTTCCTAGTACTTTTCATTACTCACCCCCCCAATCCATGTTAACATTTTAACTCTCCTGGGTCAAATGCATAGATTCTTACTGCGTTCAGAGTAATTCTTCAAAAACTATTTTTGTTCACACTTTTATTTCCACTATAAATTACCCAGTGTCTAGAGTTCCTATTGTTTAAAAAAGAGGTGAAAGATTTAAGAATTGTTCTTTATCCATAAATTTAGATTGTATTCCTTCCTAGCAACCCTCCCCCGACTTCTCTCTCACTGTAACAGAGCTCATTCACTGAGTTTGTTTCCACTCCTAGGGGAGTTGGATGGGTAGCATTTATTATTTATTTAGTCTGCTAAAAAGTAGTAAGAATGGGTTTAGACTTTTCAGCCGTGCACATAGAAGGTAGTCAAAAAATGTGAGGTTACGAGTTCTTCTAGAATAAGCAGATCCCCAGGCATTCAGAGTATTTTGTGTGCTATCTCTGAGACAGCATGGCTGTTAGACCTCTCTAGATAAAACTTGATCTTTCCTCCATATTGGTCACAGTGTTACTGTAAGTGTTCAGCATTTCTTCATATCCATACTGTGCATCATTTTGGCTAAAATAGAGTGTTTCATGTAGATTAATTCTTGAGCTGGTTTTAAAAATCACCTTTAAAGAAGAGTGAATGCTACACAATCATGATATACCCAGAACAACTTAGTCTGTGAAGCTTTGCCACGGAGGGTGGTTCTTGGGAAGAGGACCAGGCCAGAAACAGCACTGATACAGCAGGGGCCAGGGCGGCAACCCTTTGCCAACAAGTACAGGCTGCTTCAATATTTCACCAACTGGTATAGTAGTGTCGACATTTTAACCTACAAATCCAATACATATCTCTTTTTCTTTTTCAGGTTGCTCCACTGTGCCTAGGAAGAGCTGGAGCTTGTGTTGTGACTGTAAAATTATAATTTAGCGCTCTGTTTTCTACATGAAGACACCGTCTTCCCTTATTAATTTAGTATAATTATTCTATCAATGGATACATTTTTAGTAAACGTGCATTGTCACAATCCTGGGCACAAAGTGCCTGATCTCAAAGTGAAGATAGGAAAACAAAGGAGGAAGCAGTGGATGGACCAGGATTAATTCCTTTCATTTCTTAGTAAATTAAAACATGGAGCTGGTGGATTGTGAACACACATTCCTGATGTAATATGTGAGGACAAATGCACTGCCCTGGAACATAACCCAGTGCTAACTGGGGGTTTCACTTAATTCAGTCAAGCACATCTTACTCACATCCAGATTTATTTTCCTACAGTGCAGACACACCAGATGAAACTTTAAAATGCTACTTTTTGTAAGCTTATCATACATGAGTTGCAGTAATTTGTTTGCTTGTTTAACCACAACCACTATTTTAATGATACACTAAAGATAACACTATTTAGTTTTTTCAGAAACATCTGCATTATATGTGTGTTGGTTGTGGATTTTGTTTCTAAAATTGGCTTAGTCCAATAAATAAAGAAAAGCATTAAGGACTTAAAGCAACAATAACCAAATAAAAACTTGATAGGATCTTTGAAGTCTATTTAAATATTCATTCCATTACATCTAGACTCACCAAGAACTACATGTTATGATGTTAAGTTGAAGTTGAAACATGATGTTTTGCATTAAATTTAAGATATGCAAATTTATGTAGAGAAAATAAATGTTATATACCCTATAATGTTCTTTCACCTAATTAGTATTTAATTATATGGATTTGTTTTATATTATAAAAGATGCTTTGATTTTGTCTTTTGAGATTGACAAAATTTTTTGGATATCCTTATGTTCTCAAGTCTGTATCTGCCTCCCCTGCCTTATTTCTTATGTTTTGCCACAGTTAACCCATTGTGCTTCTTTGTAATCAAAGTTTGTGGGGGAATGGGCTTATTGAATGTCTAAAAACTAAGTTTAAAGTGTTTGTTACCCTAAGTTTTTTACATTTGTAAACTCTAATTATATATGTGAATGTTATTACTCTCAGTGAATTGTTATTGTTTGCAAAAATGCACTGGGCAGTAGCATTTTGTGATAAATCCTACAAGATATAAGTCATTGAGATGTCTAAGATGCTTTTTATTTTAACCCCAATTAGTAACCACCTTATGGAAAATAATATTTGCTAATATTGTTTATTGTGAACTAAGAATCAAAGTTTTTGTATGCATCAATGCACTTAATCCTCACAACAACCTTATGAGGTAGTTCTATTACCTTTTTATAGCTAAGGAGATTGGGGTACAGAGAAGTTAGCCCCAAGGTTATATACCGCAAGTAAGTGGCAGAGCAGGGATTCATACAAAGGCCATCTCACTCAGCAGTCTTCACTCTTACTATTCCTACCACTAGGGAGAAAAAGAAAGATTTCGGCTGGGCGCAGTGGCTAACGCCTGTAATCCCAGCACTTTGGGAGGCCGAGGCAGGTGGATCATGAAGTCAGGAGATCGAGACCGTCCTGGCCAACACGGTGAAACCCTGTCTCTACTAAAAAAAAAAAAAAAAAAAAAAAAAAATCATGAACCCGGGAGGCGGAGCTTGTGATGAGCCGAGACCGCGCCACTGCACTCCATCCAGCCTGGGTGACAGAGCAAGACTCTGTCTCAAAAAAAAAAAAAATTTTCATTTTATGTGAGGAATTATTTATTTTAATTGTTTAAATCTCTTATGGAATTTTACAGATTTTGCTTTAGAAAAGTAGATGCAATATAATATATTTCTTTTATATAATAAAACTTTATATATAAAGTTTTATACCTATTAGATGAATTGCATGGTATTTTAGGCAACTTAACTATAAACAAATTTATTCATAAAAACAAGCATTGTTGCCAACAATTTAGATGACCTAGATTAAAAAACACACCAATTGACAAAACAGGCTCAAAAGGAAATAAAAATTCCGAACAGCCCTATAACAAGTAAAGAGATTGAACCACTACTCAAAAATCTCCCAGCAAAGAAAGTCCAGGACTAAATGAGTTTACTGGCAAACTATGCCAAACATATGAAGAAGAATTAACACTAATCCTTCTCGAACTCTTCCAAACAATGGAATAGAAAGGAGCACCCTGTGACCCATTCTCCAAGGCCAGCATTACCTTAACACCAAAGCCAAAGACCTCACAGGGAAACTACAGACCAATATCCCTCATGAATATAGATGCAAAAAAACTTCAAAATACTAGCAGGCCAAATCTAGTAGCTTATTAAAATGATCATACAGCATGACCAAGCAAGATTTATCAAAGAAGTGCAGGGAACATGGTTCTACACACAAATGTCAATCGATGTAATATACCATATTAATAGAATGAAGGGAAAAAACAGCATAATCACCTCAGTTGATAAGAAAAAGCATCTGACAAAATCCAACACTCTTTCATGGTAAAAACACTGCAAACTAGGAAGAAAAGGGAACTTTCTTAATCTGATAAAGACATTCATAAAAACCCACAGCTAACAACATAATAGCAAAACATTGAAAATTTTTCCCCTAATATCATGAAAATTCCTGGTTTCCCCACTGCTATTCAGCATTATACTAGAAGGTCTAGCCGGAGCAATTAGGCAAGAAAAAGAAATAAAATGAATCCCAAATAGGAAGAAGTAAAACTACATTTGCAGAAAATATGGTCCTATGTACTAAAAATCCTAAAGAATCCACACAATGATTCCAGCTGATTTTAAAAATTCAGCAATGTTGCAGGTTGCAAGATCAACACCCAAAAGTCTAAGAAAAACCTGAGAGAAAATTAAAACCATTTATAATAACATGAAAAAGAATAAAATACGAATAAATTTGACCAAGAAAGTGCAAGACTTGGACACTGAAAAGTACAAAACGTTGCTGAAAGAAATTAAAGAAGACCTAAATAAATGGAAGATATCCTGTGCTGGCAGGTTGGAAGACCTAACATTGTTAAGATGGCATTACTCCCAAAATTAGTCTATAGATTTAATAAAATCCCCATTAAAATTCCAGTGACAGGCCGGGCGCGGTGGCTCAAGCCTGTAATCCCAGCACTTTGGGAGGCCGAGACGGGCGGATCACGAGGTCAGAAGATCGAGACCATCCTGGCTAACACGGTGAAACCCTGTCTCTACTAAAAATACAAAAAACTAGCCGGGCGAGGTGGCGGCGCCTGTAGTCCCAGGTACTCGGGAGGCTGAGACAGGAGAATGGCGTAAACCCGGGAGGCGGAGCTTGCAGTGAGCTAAGATCCGGCCACTGCACTCCAGCCCAGGCAACAGAGCCAGACTCCGTCTCAAAAAAAAAAAAAAAATTCCAGTGACCCTTTTACAGAAACAGAAAAGCTGACCCTAAAATTTTTACAGGATTGCAAGTTACTGAAGGCACTCAAGTTTGTTCAAAACAATCTTGAACAAGAATAAAGGCGAAGGACTCGCATTTTCCAGTTTCAAAATTTACTGCAAAGCTACTTCAATCAAAACAGTGTTGTGTTGGTATAAAAATATATAAAGCAATAGAGTAGAATGGAAAGTCCGGAAATAAATTACGTCAATACACTATGGTCAATTGATTTTTTTGACAAGGGTTCCAAGACCACTCAATGAAGAAAGAACAGTGTCTTCAACTAATAGTGCTAAGACAAGTGAATATTCACATGCAAAAGAATGAAGTTGTACCCGTACTTCATACCATATATAAAAATTAATTCAAAATAGATCAAAGACCTAAATGTAAGAGCTAAAACCATAAAACTTTGAGAAGAAAATATAGGAATAAGTCTTCATGACCTTGGATTTGGCCATGATTTCTTAGATATGGCACCAAAAGCACAAGCAACAACAGCAAAAAAAAAAAAAAAAAAAATTGGGCTTCGTCAAAATTAAAAGCTTCTATATATCAAGGGACACTATGAAGAAAGTGAAAAGACAACCCACAGAATGGGAAAAAATCTTTGTAAATCTTAAATATCTGCTAAGGAACTAGTATCTAGAATATATAAGGAACTCCTATGCTCAACAAAAAGACAACCCAATTTTAAAGGGGCAAAGAACTTAAATAGACATTTCTCTAATGAAGATATACAAATTGCCGACAAGCACATGGAAAGATGCTTAATGTCATCAGTCATTATGCAGATCAACACCACAGGAAGATACCACTTCACACCTATTAGAATGACGATAACTTTTAAAAAAGAAAATAGACCTAGGATCTAAACCTATAGGTAAAAAATAAATAATAGAGAAAATAAGGGTTAGAGAGGATGTGGAGAAATTGAAAACCTTCATTCATTATTGGTGGGAATGTTAAATGGTGTAGCCACTGTGGAAAACAGTTTGGCAGTTCCTCAATAAGTTAAAGAATTACCATATGACCCAGCAAGTCCAGTCCTGGACATATACTGAAAAGAACTGAAACAGGTGTTCAAGCAAAAACTTTCACACAAACATGCTTCGCAGCACTAGTCACAGTAGCCAAAAAAGTGGAAACAACCCAAATGGCCATCAGCTGATGAATGAATAAGCAAACTGTGGTATCTACACATGGCAAAATGGAATATTGAGCCATAAAGAGAAATGAGGTACTGATACATGCTAAAACATGGATGAGCCGTGAGCACATTTTGCCAAGTGAAAGAAGGCAGACACAAAAGGCAATGTATCACATGAGTGCATTTATATGAAATATCCAAAATAGGCAAATCCATGGAGACAGAAAGCAGATAAATGGTTGTAAGAGGCTGAGAGAAAGGAGGAGTGGGGAGTGATTGCTAAAAAGGAGTTTCCTTCTAGGGTGATGAAAACGTTCTGGAATTACTTATTGGGGATGATTGCACAACATGGTGAAGGTACTCAATGTCACTAATGGTAAATTTCACATACGCTTTACCATAATGTTTTAAAAGCTTTATTAGCTACATTATGTTATGATACTTAAATGTCATAATAATAGCATTCTGTACGCTTCACTAGGATCAAAACACTGGATTTACATACATCCGGAAGAGAATGTTTTCAATGTAATTTGCTAATAAATTAATTTCTAAAAATCTGACAGAAAGACTCTTAAATCTTAATTTCAACCTAAGAAGGGAGTGAGAAACACTGAGAGCCATGAGGGGAGAGTTAACAGGAACTCCCCTCCATCTGGTACATGGCAGGCATTCCACAAATGTTTTCTAAAAGTTGAAATAGATACCTTTTCATGAACTCTGTAATATTTGGAATTGTTAATAAGTCTTACTCAAAAACAAATATTCAATAAAATGGTATTTAATTTTACTGTGACTAGATAATAAATTCTCATGTAATTTTTTTATTTTTTAACTGGAGTAAAACAAAATCAAATGCCATGAAAAATTATAGGCTACTTACAGCATTTTCATCATTCTGAGTCTTAAAGAACTTGTAAGAACACACCACCTCTCCCATCACAGCCTTTGTCCTCATTCCTAAGGCATAGGAGAGTATCATGTTTATTTTGTATCTTCTCTTGGGGCTGAACAACGCGCAAGCCTCTTGAAGAAATGCCATATTGACTGATGTGGGTATTGGCATCATTGCTACACTTCACTGCCACCCTCATTTCCCTCTAGTCCTGGGTAATTATTTGGGCTAACGAGGTACAATTTAGAGAGCAAACCCAGGGAAGCTCGGGAAGCAAATCTAGTGCCCTGGATCTTTGCCCAGGCTCAAGCTGGTTCCATTTCACCATGTTTCTTTGTGGATAATAAACAATTAGGTTTAATTGAGGTATTTTCACATAGTTTTGAGGACAGCAAAAATCACCTGGTGGCCATCAAGCAGACCATCCAGAGGCAAAACTCCTTATCTGAGGAAGTCAGAAGTCATTAGACTGCCCTGTTATCTAAAGCCAGCATCTGGTACTAGGCTTTGTTACCAAAAATGGATTTAATATAAGTAATTACAACTTTTTATACATCTCCAGAATGAATGTGTGTGAAAAGTTACTGTGCAACCCTTGCTAACATCAAGGCACCAAAATGTCTACAAATGTAATCATTTACCATGGCCTGTGTAACAAATGTGGTCAAAATTACCCTTAAGGTCCATAAATACCTTGT